CTTCTCCGGCGGCCCCGACGGAGGGGTCATGCAGCCGGTGCGCACCGTGGTGCCGGTGGCCAAGCACAGGGGGTGAGTGAGGAAGGCCGGGCTGGGGGCAGGACAAGGTGGAGAGGAGAGAGAGGAAGGGAAGGGAAGCGGTGGGAAAAGGGAAACGCGGACTTGCCTAACGACTGCGAGCCAGTTACCACTTAACAGGGCTCTTCACAGGTGTTACCTTGTTTGATGCAATACGCCCTCCGCGTAAATAATGGTGCCACTGTTTTACTGATGGAAAACTGGAGATTAAGTGACTTACCCAAGCTTGCACAGCTACTGCGTGGCAGGGCTGGGATGGTTTTCTGTTCCAAAGCCAAACTCTGGAGCCTTGAACATAACGTGCACACAGCCCAAGGGAAGTGTCTAGAAACGAAGGGGAGGTGGCCTAGTGGACAGTGATGGAGGAAAAGGAGAGGAAGGCATTTGGGGACTTTACAGGAGACCGCAGATGGAAGGAGTTGCAGCTGCTCCCTCTCTCTTTGCAGCTTCCTGGGGGTCATGCCCGCCTATAGTGCAGCGGAAGATGCACTGACCACCAAGCTGGTTACCTTCTACGAGGGCCACAGCACCACCTCCACCATCCCCTCCCACCAGGCTACGGTGCTACTCTTTGAGCCTAGCAATGGCTCCCTGCTGGCGGTGAGCACCTCCCTGTCCTGGAATGGAGTGCCCCCACCCCATCGGCCCCAGAGTCAGGCCCAGAAGTTAGTCTTCCCCTGAGCAGGAGGATTTTGGTTGTGACCATATATTCCCCTCTACAAGTGACTGGTGTTACCAGCCACAGTGGAGTTGTCTGTGACCATGTAACTATTCCTAGGACTGCCTGAGCATGCGGAACCCTGCACCTGAGCTCCCTGCTGCTGTGTGGAAATCATCTCACCACTGTTCTGTATGTTTTCGGAGTGCACTCAGTTACCCTAGATTAGACAGCTTGAACTAAGCCAGTAACCAAGGATACATTTATTTACTAATTCCCTGTCAACAGGGAAAAGAAAGGGTGTTCTATAATCTCTGGGTATCTTTTTTTGATGGGTACATAGCGACATCTTTTAACTTCTAATTATAGTATCAAAAAGTAGCAGTAGCTCACATTTGTTGAGCATGTTTTCTGCATCAGGCACTTTGCCAAACACTTCCGCATGTATTAACCCTCTTAATACTTAAAACTAGTGCGAAGTAGGTAATATTATTGCTTCCCCTTTACAAATGAAGACAGTGAGTCATAGAGCAATGAGCCCACCTTACCCAGGTTTATGCTGCTAATAAGTAGTATCCCTGGACTTCAGCCCTGCAGTCCGTGGCCTATACTCACTTCTTTTTTGAGAGAGAGATTTTTGCCATGTACTCATCAGAGAGACAGAGACAGAAAGGGAGAAATCACCCCTGTCCCCAGAGGGGATGGATAGGCCATAGTCCCTCTCCTCCATTTTCTTCTTGGCATCTTGGCCATGCACACATGTGCACCTGGCATGAGTCTCAAGTCATCAGGTCCAGGATGTGAACTGCAGTTGACCATGTGGGAGTACAGTGCCCCAACCACTGTGCCACCTACTGGCCTCCATACACTCTCTTAAGACTATGCTCTACCACCTTCTTAACTGCAACTTACCGAACTATTACCATGTGCCTTGATCACATTCAATTCTGACAAGCTCTCTGCAGAGGTTTTCTATTACATCCTGGTCCTACAATTTCTGTGGAGGTTTTTGAGGCTTGGATTAGTAAAACCTCTTTACTGAGGTTGCACAACTGCTTAGTGAAAGACCCGATAATCACTCCTAGGTCTATGAGTTTATACTCTTAACTCTGCAAAGAGTCTGGTTTTTCTCTGAACTGACATTTAGACCCTCCTTGTCTTATGACTTCCTGGCTACCTTGAAACTAGCTGCTCATTACGCCTCTGAGAAGAGTATCTAGCTCTTCCCAACCTAGACTCGTCCAGTGGCAATGGCATCCAGGCTATCTGCCAGCAGTGGTCCTCCAAGAAAGAGATATCTGGGCCTTTGAAACTAGATGACGGGACCCTAGATCCTTGTTGAACTGTACGTGAATAATGACGCCTCTCCTTTGGGGGCCAGCTGAGATGAGGAACATAAATGGGGAACAGTACAAAGGGTGGTGGTTATTAGCCGGGCATCCTCAATCCTTACTGTATATCAGAATCACCTGAGGAGGCTTATAAATAAGAATGCCTGGGTTGTTCACCTGGATACTTAGATTCCATTCATCTGGGGTGATAAATAGGCATCTGTGTCTTCACCAAGCACCCAAATGTGGTGCTTTGGAAATTCCAGGGCAAACAAAGAAAATGGGCAATTCTTGAGGATTCACCCATATGCTATTGACTTGTCTGAAAAGTCATGACACATTTTTGCAAAAAACAAATATGATTTCCAACCCAAAAGATGCTTCAAATATTGCCAATGCCTTGTTATTGTTATTATTTTAGGATTATTTCATAGGTTCACTTGCTTGCCAGAGAGATAGAGAGAGAGGGAAAGTGAAAAGAGAAATCCCCCTCCTTCCCAAGGGGGTGGCCACACCACAGTCCCTTTTTCTCTATTCTCTTCTTGGGATTTTGGGCATGCACACACATGCACCTGCATGATTTTCAAGCTGCCAGGTCTGGGACTCTAACTGTGGTCATCCATGTGGGAGTTCAATGCATTCACTACCACACCACCTGCTGACCCCTGCCAATGCTTTTAATCATCTCAGTAACCTCTGATTGGTTGGCCTTATCTTTTTTTTCACAGGTGAGGAAAGCAGTGCTTAGAGATTAAAATGTTTGTTCCCACATGGCCAACCATGGTTCAAGTCCTGGACCTGGAGGCTTGCCTCCTCACTTTCCCTCTATCTCTGTCTCTTCCTCTTTCTCTGTTCAAATTTAAAAATAATAATAAATCAATAAAATTAAATAATTTTTAAAAAGTATGTTCAAAGTTGCTTATCTTCTATGGAGAGGAATGTTCTTTGTAGGATTCTTCCTAGGGCTAGTCATTTGAAGCTGCAGCTCTCTGTGTAAGCAGTGGATGGTGCTCACTGTCTTCTTCCCTCCAAGGTCATGGATGGAAATGTCATCACTGCAAAGAGAACAGCTGCAGTATCGGCCATCGCCACCAAGGTAAGATTAGCAGCTGGCTGTGCTGTCCAGGCAACTGGTACACTGGGTGGGTTCTCTCAGTCTTGAAAGACTAAGGGAGAAGGGAAGAACTTATTTTGATTTTATTTTGAACATAGCTAGAACTCCATATGCCAGACAAAAAATTCCAGGTGAGCATAGTGATTCATGAACTTACTGCTACCATTTAATGTGCATGAGCAGATTCGAAGTACCATATATGCATCATTTTCCATCTTCCCATCAACCTTGGAAAGTAGATGGAATTATCTCCATTTGTCAAGTGTAAGGATTGAAACTCAGAGCAGTTGTATGAGTTGCCTGGGATCACACAGCTAATAAGTGGTAAAGCAAGAATTCAAAATTTGGCCTCTTCAAGTCCCAGGATGAATTTCTTGCCCTAATATTGCACTGATCCTGGTAAGGCAATATGGTTACTCCAAAGACTAGAGCCAGTGCAGCACAGGAAGCAGAGAATGAACCTAGCAGATGCAAGCCAGACTCCTGTATTCACTTGGCCAGTATTGACTGTGCTCCTGCCATGTATCTGGCACTGGCATGTAGGGCGAACAAACAGTAACACACAACAGCAGAAGGGGACGATAAAAATAATATAAAAAGCTAAACAGTATAATTTGCTTTTTAAAAAACCTTTTATAATTTAATAATGTGCTAAATAATTATTGGGTTGTCAGAAAAGCTGTGGCATTTTTTACATATGCAAAAATGCATCATGACTTTTCTAACCCAATATTTATGAATAAATAATAACGTGTAATCCTTACATAATTGATATTAACTAGTTAACCATTGATCGTGTGTCTATAGAGTTTGCTAACAAAACCAACAACAATAAAAACGATGACAGTATGTTAGAGAGGTGAAAATAAAGCATAAATGAGAATATTGGGGAGAGAGGTGACATTTTAAATTATCCAGGAAAGACCTTGCAGAAAAGGTGACATTTGAGTTAAGACTGAAAACTGAACAAACCATCATAATTGTGGAAAAGCACCCCAGGGAGAAGGAACAGCAAGTGACGGGAGTGACAGTGTTCTTAATCAGTGTCGAGGCCTCCTACAAGAAATACAGTATTTTTAGAGAAGATTTAAGAAGAGGAGGCTTAGAAAATGAGGTGTCCATGGGAACAATTGGCGTCTGGAGTCTTTCTTGTTACATGAGAAGTACTAGGTCTTGATGTTGATTTTTCTAACCATAAAGGAAACGTAACTCAGGACAGGGTTGGAGCCTAAAGACCAGGTGTTCAGATTATATGTTAGGTTTTCTAAATCCAGGATGAGGAGGGAGGAATGTGAGGATTAGTTTGGTAATTGTATATGAAGGGAGTAGACAACAGTACACACCTCCGTAAACTGTTTTGTTTTCAGTTTAGTTATTTGTCTCATAAGAGAGAATAGAGCACCCACCACAGGGTTCTTCATGCCACAATCCACCCCCAGCCTTAGATAGCCAGGATTATGGGCACATTCACACTCAGTGTGTACAGGGAGACCGCAGGATGCAAATCTGGAACTTCTGTGTGTATCTGCAGCATTGCAGAACCTTGCATTATGCTGTGCCACTGTGGCTCACTGATGAACTGGTTTTTAATTATATCCAGACCCAATTCACATCAAAATAATCAAGGGACTCCGTGAGATGTTTGCTCGTAATGTAGGAAAAGAATGAGTCTTATATAGATTCGATGTCCCTTTTCCAAAATGGTTGGGGACCAGAAGTGTTTAAAATTTTCTTTTTGGAGGGGGGATGGATTCTGGAACGTTGGGGTGCGTGCCTGTGTATAGAGAGAGGTATTTTGGAGATAGGATCCATGTCTAAACATGACTGCAACTTAGCAAATGAAGGCAAGTATAGATTTTCTCCCTTACGGCATCATATTGGTGCTCAAAAAGGTTCAGATTTCGGATTTTCTGATTAGCGATGCTCAACCTGTAATATGGTCTTGTATTTGTAAAGGACTCTGGCCTCATTCAAAATAATTTCTAGCCCATTTTCAGTACTTTTGAGTTTCTGTGAGGAAGACAGAGCATGCTTTGTTGACCTCATTTTATGCAGAAGGAAACAGAGACTGAGCAGTTTTCTGAAATCATCTTATTAGGTATCTGTGGGTTTTTCTGAGTTCATGTGGTCTTTTGGTCCCAGGTCATCAGTGTCCCACCTATGCTGTACAGCAGCATCACCTGAAGGCGATTAAAATTCAGATTCTCAGAGCATTTGAAATCCATCCTTCTACCTGTTTTTAATAATACATTGAATTGGGGGAACCAGCAGTTAGCGTAATGGCTATGTCGCTGGATTCCCACGTAGTCGACCGCGGTTCGCGTACCGGACCCGGTGGCTTAAAACTCATGCCGGGCACGTGTGCGTGCGTGCCCAAGATCCCGAGAGGAGAATGGAGGAGAAGGGATTGCGGCGTGACCATCCCCCCTGGGGGGTGATTTCTCGCTTTCTGTCTCTATGTCTCTCTCTGTCTGTCTGGCGAGCACAC